TTATGGGAAATCGTGAAATCAGCTGAAAAAGACCGCGGAGGACAGATTGAAATAGAGATATGATACTAAAACTCAATGTCCTTATCGGAACGCAAGGGAATAATAATAATGCTATTAGATTGTTGGAGGCAATCGGCAGGAAATCTTGGACCTAAGTTTTGTGCTAGTTGGCGCTCACCAGTCAGCAAGGCGGCGTATCTGCAATCTCAAAGGAACTCTTGTCTCTCCTGAGATTCGAAACCGCGTCACTCAGTGCTGCTTGCAGTCAAAGACGTTACCACTGAGCTATTCAGGCCCGTGATTGACTTCGTGTAGGACTATATCAACAATATCAACAATTTACAGTGCACTGTGATAGCGAGTCACCTAGAATTGTGGCCAAACTGCAAACGTGACTGATAGAATTCAGTTCGCAGCAAAGATATGACTAGACACATTACACTGGTTACTAACTAGTGTCCAATCAATAATAATACCGGGAACTGATCTTTCTATTTACTAGAGTATAATCAACTTTTAAACCAACCAGGAACCGATTGTGCAACAAATATGCAGGAAGAAGTGGAGGTGGATTGGAGGCCATACTATGAGAAAACAAACCACAATCAAGTGACATCACACGCCAGGCTATCACTCGAGTGGAACCCGAATGCGAAGCGGCGAGTTGGTTGTCAGTGCGAGGGTAGGGTGACATGGAGGAGGAGGTGATGTGAAGAGTAGAAGAGGAAAGCATGTGGGTAGACGTGGAGCCAGGTGAAAATGTTGGCAGAGAACCGAACGCAATGGAGACGTGCGTGGCTGAAGCCCTATGTTCCTCTAGGAACAAAAGGAAACAATAATAATAATAACCAACTTTTATGGTATGACGGCTGATGATATTATGGTGTCGAAAGGGAATTGAACCTGAAATTCATATGCTCTAAGTCAAGCGGCTAAGCAAATGAACTCTATCTTCACTTTAGTAGGCTAAATGAAACTATTCTTTTAAAGGGAAACGAGCACAAACTTCCCCCTAAGTGATTGGTTGCGTGTACGCCTTTCCTATTGCTTTTCTTATCTAAAATAATAATAATAATAATTATTCGCCTTATTTCAAAGCAGTACTAATGATACAATGTGGGATTTTCAGCATTTGTTACAATATTGCATCTAATTTTATCGAATAATATTAAAAAAACAATTACAAAAATAATATTACAGGATTGTTAATGGAATTTCTTATTTGGTATTTGTAGCGACAGTGAAGTCATATATATATATATATATATATATATAAGAATTGTAAATAATGATAAAAGTAATGTAACGACAGAAGACAAGGGCCAGGCAACAGATCGTTTATTTACGAAATCAACACATATTTATAGATTTTAATGTACATTATTGTAGATTATTGTTAGTAGAAAATACAGTCTTTTGATTGGTTGTTTCTCACAGAAAGTTAACCTTGCATCTCTTTGTGGCTGGCTGTGTCAGATCATCCATATACTAATTGTATCCGCCTACGCAAAGCCTTTGTTTTCATTTTCTCACCACCAATATTGGGGATATAAACATTGACGTCAATTACTGTCTATCAACTTTGTCTAGCACCCAGCTCTCACCACGATAATACTAATAATAATGTTAGTAGCTACGATTATCAATTAATTGAGATAGTGTCACTATAGATTACCAATAGGAGACAATAAAAGAGCTTATTATTTTGCTGACAATATAGTAATTCATAGGTTTCCCGCTCAACATTGTCTCTATCACATAGAACACGGGTTGGCCAAATATGATATTTTTGAGTTCCTATACTTGGTAGTACGAGCATATAATCTTTTGTACTGACTTGTAGTTCTACCCGATGAGATACAGCAAGAGGAGAGTTGAGAATAGTGGGGGAGGGTGTTCAGGGTCAGACAATATGGATTTAGATCATTTCTCGCATGAGTTCAGATGTCTGTCAGCTAATGTAGTGACAAGCTGATTAAGTTGCACACCACTTACCTTACTACTGACAACATTCAGTACCCTTCCCAATATGACATAGTCCTTTTTCAGTAGCACAAGAAAGACTAAGGGGGACCAGAAAAGTACAATAGGTAAGATAGAAGAGTTAACAAATTGTAAAAGTAGATGTTGACGGGAAATTTTCTTGGAGGTCAGAAAATAGGTCGGTCGGTCGGTTTTCGACATAGAACTTTGCACATATGTGCGGCAGTTCAAGTCCCCACACTCCATGTAGCACACAAACCAAGAGAAGAAAGTAGGAGAAATGCATAATATAGACAGTAAACAGAGGTGTGAGACAAAGGAATAGTAATAACGAAGAACAAAAGAGTTTAACTGGAAATCATAAGTCACAAGGAGTGGATGCATCGGCGCTAGCCATTGAGAACGAAGATTTTGAGCCATGTCACCAATTGTTTCCAACCATTGGTTTTTACTGTCCCGAGGACCCCAACCAGTCAGGAAGTCTACACCTTCCATATGTGGCTTAGACTAACTGTTCTAGATTTCAATGACTGGTGAAGTCATGCTTTGGTTTGACCGCCGGTAGCTCTTTTCCAGCCTGATCCATCCTATATCAGCTAACATTGCCAGTCAGTCGAGGAAGGCGATGGCCAGACTAGGCATGCGTAACGCATGTCCTAACCATCTCAGTCGATGTAATTTCACAGTCTCGTCGATTGATTTCCCCGCCTTACCTAGCACTCGACGCCTAACCTCAGTATTGCTAACTTTATTATACCACTTCACGCGGGAGATAGAACGCAGACACCTATGATCGAAGACAGCTAATCTTTTCGATCATAGGTGTCAGAAAATAGAACTACACTCAAGTATTTTGTGCTAGACTTAATTTCTGTTACAGTCTCCCCCCCTATGCTACAAGCATCATGTGTACTAACCAGTCGTTGCATATCATGTTTACGTCTAAAGGAGAAGTCAATAGTCTGACATTTTGAGGGATTTATTTTAAGACCACTTAGCTTAGACAACTGACCGATGTCCGATAAAAAGCTATTAAGTTTGCAACAGTCTGATTGGGACTTAACAGGAAGCGAGACGGTCAGATCGTCAGCGTATTTGACGAAGTATTTGACCTCATTAGGAAAAAGAGGTAAGTCATGTAAGAAGAATGAAAAAAGAAAAGGAGAGAGAACAGCACCCCGAAGAACACCAGCTTCGGTAAGCAAGCAAGGCAAAAGAAGATTCACCCTTATACACAGTATACTGCATTCTATTTGAAAAATAAGAATACAACCAGTTAACAGCCCAGGACTCGGTTCTCGCAAGACAAAGCTTATTCATCAACAAAAAACGCATCTAGGTACTGAGTCAAAAGCAGATGTGTAGTAGAGGAAGGTACAACGTACATATTTGGCCCCATTGTCTAAGGAGGAGACAATGTTATGATGTAATACAGCGGTAGCATCTAAAGTACTTCTGCCCTGTCTATCAGCGAACTATTTGGGATCATTAAAACTTTTTAGAGAGGGTACAAGGTTGAGTAATAGTAATTTCTCTAATAATTTCAGAAAAGGAAAGGTGATTGCAATAGGTTTAAATTTAACATTAGTACCGGAACCTGATTCGGGCACAGGGATGATTTTAATGTCGCTCCATGCAGCAGGTACAACATTACTGGAAAAAGAAGTATCGAATATGTTTGTAACTGGGTTACGTAAAATATCAACACATCTCCTGAGGACAACAGTAGGTGCACACCATTAAGGCCAAGGCTCCAGGAAGGTATTAGTGATTTCAAATATTTAAGAAAATCAAAAGGATTTTAAAACCATGAAAGTCACTGACCTTATTATTTGTTACATTGGGGACAAAAGCATCATTAGAAGAGCGTATGAAGGACTTGTTGAGAGTATTTACATCAACAGATGGGATATTAATACTTTGCTTATCACAACCTGTAATTTCATTGAAAAGTTTCCACATGTTCCCAGGAGTTTTACATGACAAGATTCTTTGGTTATATAAATAGTGTTCGGCCGTTGGATTTCTTATTTAATCAGGATGTTCATCCTTTTTAGATCCGTTTTGTCTTCAGACTTGTACAGCCGCTGTTTTTCTCTTCGTAACTTTTTGAGCTGAGGAGAAGAGAAATGGTCAAGCTTTTTGAATAGCGATTGGATGTATCTGCGTGATTGAGAACGATTTTGAGCCATATCACCAATTGTCTCCAGCCTTCATTGGTTCTTACCATCCCGAGGACACCAATCAGTAAGGAAGTCTACATCTCACTACGTGACTGGTTCAAACTAACTGTTGTGAATTTCATTGGATGATGAGGCCATGTTTTGGTTTGACCACCACGTGCTAGCTCTTTTTCAACCTGATCCATCCTATGTCAGTCAGCTAACACTGCCCATTGTCCTGGAAGGTGATCGGTGGCTGGACATACATGGGTAACACATGTCCTAACCATCTCAGTCGATGTAGCTTCACAGCCACCTCGTCGATTGATTTCCCCTCCAAACCTAGCACTCACTGGTCACCTAACCTCAATGTTGCTCACCCTATTATACCACTTCACACGGGAGATAGAACGCAGACACCTATGATCAAAGACAGCTAGCCAGTCTTTTCATGTCTTCCACTCTCAATGGCCAGGTCTCACTCACAGCCAATGAAGGAGCAGACTGCTGAGCTGAGTTATATGGGACACACCGTTGATGAGCTCAACTCTAAAATGTACAAAACGCCTCTCCGGTAGTATTTAGATCACTTATATTTGGTTCTTATGCTCTGTTGTTTACCGTTCGTGGTTTCTGACTACTCATATCGACCAGTAGTATATATCATAACGTCCCTACTTTCTTTTTTGCAATATACGTAAACTTTTCCAATTGTTATCAGTCCACGCTTCCCTATGAATTTAAGTTTATTTTGTGGATTTTTGAAAATGAATGTACGCTTTTTTGAGACTTTGACCTTAAAATGTGAGTAGTATTTTAATAAAAGAAAATTTTTTTTTTTTTCCTGTAAAACAGCTGACAGAACTACTCGGTGTTGATATTTCCTCTGCTCTTCATCGAAGTTTATCTCGTGCATGGAAACGTGCTGCTGAAGAACAATCACGTGTCCTGTGCGAAGCTGTTGAAAATCGTGCTAAGGTAGGTAGGTTTATACAACAATTAGATTGTTTTCACCCATCCACCCTGACTCACCCTTCCCGTCTTCGAGTATATCAGCCAAATTTTCATTATGAATAGAAGAAACACATTCTAAAGCCCTAGTAGTTTTGCGTATATACAAATATTTTTGCTGCACACTACTGACGCTTAAATGTCAATGGTTAGTGGTTAATTTCGAAGAATTCGAGATGTACTTTTCACTTCCATTCACGACTTATTGCGCGGGGGGGGGGGGGTAGATCTGTCCTCACCTATCCCATGTACATAATATTGACCTGAGTAGGAGGAGCTACAACTAAGCACCTGTAGTTGGAGCCAATATGGCTAAAATGTTTACTGTTAGTCAATTGATTGGTTGATTTTATCGTCTTTTGTGAGACGGTGCGCTGAACTTTTTTTTACCTCTGTCATACTGCTCAGCTCTGATGATGTTGTCTAGAAGGACAAAGAAGCTTCCATTGACCTTTTTAATTGACTTTTACAGTGACTATTATCAATTCGTGTATCTGTTATAGTCCTACACAATTAGTGAACAGTGGTCAGAAAATTGCAGTTATATAGTTTTTACACAGGCAGTTCAAGTTTAAAGAAAATAAATGTATGCATACAATGGTAAAGGAGTTACGTAATAAAGACGAGAGATGCGTAAGATGCTGAGTGACTAATAAATTAGATAACAATCTACTGAGTTCAACTCAAATCATAGATATTCAAGTGTTGGTTTGTAGGGATTTGATTGGTGACAGGATTTTCATCATGAGCTTACATTAGTTAGAGAAACATTGGAAAACCAACTGGGAGTACTGGACAGCTGTTTCGTTCTAGTTTGGGACTCTTCATCAGTACGCACTCACCGGGATTCGAACCCAGGACCTTCTGGTTACAAGGCTAGCGAGCTTGTAGACCATTAAGCCACTGTAACATTACAAATTATAGAAGGGGTTGAGGTTAGAGCCAAAGATTACGTAATCAATTTCTATCAAACGCTTGAAACCAGAGTTATGTGTTCAGAAAGAAGCAGTTATTAGTCTTTCCTTTCCCTGGTAACTGGCTGTCTTTATTCTCTCTCTCATTTGATTACGTAATCTTTGGCTTTAACCTCACCCCTTTGACATAGTGTAATTTTGCCTGTCTCCTTTTTCTATGATTTGAGTTGAACTTAGTAGATTGTTACCTAATTTATTAGTCACTCAGCATCTTACGCATCTCTTGTCATTATTACGTAACTCCTTTACCACTGTATGCATACATTTATTTTGTTTAAACTTGAACTGTTAATATATGTGTAAAACTTGAGCACTGTGGTAGTAAGTGATTCCACATTAGTTTGTTTATTAGATATATCACACAGTGAAACAGTATTATTTACTGGATGACGTTTCGAACAAAATTTATTGTTCATAATTAGTCAGGAAATATGTAAGGAAATGTAAAAATAAAATAAATAATGATAGTAGCGATAGTGATAATAACCATAATAATAATAATATTAATGACGACACCGACAGTAAAGAATCTAAATCATCAGTAGTAATTCCATACATGGAAGGAACCTCGGAAGCCTTACGCAGAATTCTTAACAAGGCAGGAATAAAAATGGCAGTCAAACCCACAAACTCAATTAGAAACAAGCTTTGTTGGTTAAAGGATCAATCCTGTGGAGCCTTTAAAACGAAACAATTTAGTTTATCCAATACCCTGCCTCCGGTGATTGTCAGGTGAAATACATAGGTCAAACTAGTAGAACAGGGGCAGTCAGACTAGCTGAACATAAAAACTTAGCAAAATCTAGATTGGTTGATCCAAATAAGATAAGAAATCTAGAGAATAGTTCAGCTCTAGTACTCACTACATGCAGTTACACACAACCATACAATAGGATGGGATAAGATGATAGTTTTAAAATCCAATGTAACAGGGTGGGGAGGGAGAGATTGATAACAGAAGCTTTGTTTATCGAATCAACTGCAAATACATGTAATAGGAATGATTCATCACCTGTCCAGTCGGACATCTGGAAAATTCTACTACCCCTATGACGACAAATAGGAGAGAACAAAGAAAACTATAAAACTCAAGTGGCGAAGTCGTATGATTACAATTGATATGATTATGAACAATAATGAATTGTGTTCGAAACGTCATCTAGTAAATAATACTGTTTCACTGTGTGATATACCTAATAAACAAACTAATATGGAACCTCACCCTCCTTTTATAATTTGTAATTTTGCTTGCCTCTTGTTTCTATGATTTGAGTTGAACTCAGTACATTGTTAACTAATTTATTAGTCACTCAGCATCTTACGCATCTCTCGTCTTTATTAAGTAACTCCTTTACCATTATATACATACATCCACTTTGCTTAAACTTGAAGTCCCTTTGTAAAAACTATATAAGTGCAATTTTCTGACCACCATTCACTAATTGTGGAACTTTCTGTCAACTGACATCATGAAAGCAAAATTCGCAAGTATGCTAAAACTTTTCTGTACATAAACTTCATAATTTATTTAGGCTGTAAGCAAGCAGCTGAGCTGATGAGAAGCCGACGATAAAATACACAATGATGTTACCATATTATTCTGCACAAACCACCACTGTTGCTGTTGTTCTCTTCCTTTATTCAAGATTATAGTGAGTAAATACATTTACACTATTGTGAATGATTTTGAGTCATTTAGCCAACCATTGATTGATTCTTAGCTAGCTACTCGAGGACGCCAACCAGACAGACAGACATAGAACGCAGGCACCTATGAACAAAGACGGCTGATCTCTCTCCCGCCATGTCTCGCACTTTCAACAGCCATGTCTCACAGTTGTCCAGAGGGACGAGGCGGGCCATTACACACTGCACCACACCTCATTTGATGGATAACCAGGTGTCACGCAAATTCAAAAGATGATACCAGTTGGCTGATGCCAAACAAGCCTTTTGTATTCATCAGTAATCAGTCCATACTTATGTTGATTCACATAATAGAAGGAAGGATGTTGAAAACAAAGTTTAAATTAATCCTTGGCACGTATTGCCTCAGTGGTTCATAGGCAGAATACTTGCCAACTATATTCATGTGGTCCCGGGTTCGATTCCCAGCTTACTCACTCGTAAACCTCGTAAAACCGGTAGATAGCTTGGTAAAGAGGTAGAGTTGGGCTTGAGACTAGAAAACCCACCACGTGAAAATAAACACCATTACTGGATTTCATCATGAGCTGACATTGATTGGAGAACCAGGGGGTATTGAACAGCTGTTTCGTCCTAGTTTGGGACTCTTCATCAGTACGTACCCACCGCAGGGGGTTCGAACCCGGGACCTTCTGGTTACAAGGCTAACGAGGTCGTAAACCATTAAGCCAGTGGGACTGGATTCGATGGCCAGGTAGCCCATGAACTCTAACTTCTGTCAATTCACGACATAGCGCGACAACTAGCCAATGTCATCGCTGCGGTGTATTTGTCCTCACACACGACCTACTGACCCTACTGGTCATGACTTCTCACTAGAACCCCAGGTAACTACCTACCTGAATAGGGTCAGTCGCCAATGAGCATCTCATCGATATTCAAGTATTGGTTTGTAAGAATTTGATTGATTAGTTACAGGATTTCATCACGAGCTGACATTGGTTAGAGAACCATTGGAAAACCAACACTTGAATATCGATGAGATGCTCACTAGCAACTTGCCCTATTCAGGTAGGTAGTTACCTGGGGTTCTAGTGAGAAGTCATGACCAGTAGGGTGCAGCAGGTCGTGTGTGAGAACAAAAACTCGCCAGAGATGACATTGGCTAGTGGTAGCGCTATGTCGTGAATTGGCAGAAGTTAGAATTGATGGGCTGCCTGGCTATTAGATCGGGTCCCAGTGGCTGATGAATGTTCTACGAGCTCGCTAGCCTTGTAACCAGAAGGTCCCGGGTTCGAATCCCCTGTGGTGGGTGCGTACTGATGAAGAGTCCCAAACTAGTGGGACGAAACAGCTAGCTGTCCAGTACTTCCAGGTTCTCGAATGGTTCTCTAACCAATGTCAGCTCATGATGAAATCCTGTAACCAATCAAATCCCTACAAACCAACACCTGAAACACCATTACTGCTGAATTTTGAAGTCCCAATTTCTTCTTGGAACACGAAACAATTAAATAAGGAATTTTGTTGACATTATTATCTTGAATTTCCCATTGATTGAGTATATGACCGACCGAAATGGTCGGTCTCTGTTGATGCGTCAACTCCTAGTTATAATCACTTCAACGATGCGTGGTGTTACTTCGTTAATAATGGCCAACAGTGGAGTCCAGAGTGCACGTTTCCTTAGATATTAGAGACTCCTCAGCTAGAGATGTACACTTGTATATCCCAGTGAGAGTTGATGATGCTCCAACTGAGATTCGAACTCAGCACCTAGTGTTTCAAACACCAAAAACTCTCTGGTTTTACAAATTATTCTGCATCTCACATACTTCTTGTAATTCCAGATATTTATGAGGATATAATATAATGAAGAATAAGCACATTTAGATAATAATATATGCCTATATTTTAATTTTAAAAAAATATTTCTCATATATATATAGCAAGAAACTTGGGAGACATTGTCAAGTTTGCCTAAAGGAGAACAAGAGAAAATCTCTTTGGATTTAATTGAATTCGGTCTACTGAATCAGTATAGTTCAGCGGATTGTAAGTTATAAAACGCATTCTTGTTTCAGAAAGCATTAGTTTTTCTCTCTCTCTGCATGAATTTCGATAAAATAATATTAATAATAATAATGATAATAAGACGTAATTTTATCAAAAGAATAGTTACACTGAACACAGAATATTCTTTTCGATAAGCCCTTCTTCATCAGGTTCTACAGTTATATATACATATTAGTGAGTGAATGAATTAGTGTTATTAACAACACTTTAAAATGTTTTGATTGGACACTAGTAAGTGGTGCTTCTCATTTCTGCGGCTACATGAGCAGCCTTCCCAGCTTCGTACATTGTACGAACATTCCACATCCCCACCCTTATTTTTGCTTTCATCTAAAGGATCAGAAAAGTGGCGAGTCACAAAGAATATTTCCGACAGCCTGTTGCAGACCTTTATCAACAACAACTGTCTTCGCTCTATACTGAAGATCAGATGGCCGCCGGAAAGAACAAGAACCAACAAGAAATTATAGGAACAAACAAAACAAGAATCAATCGCCCAACAAATATGCAGGAGAAAGTGGAGATGGATTGGACACTCACTGAGGAGGCCGTAGGGTGACATCGCGCGTCAGGCCAGTGCTCGAGTGGAACCCGAAAGGGAAGCGGCGAATGGAACGTCCAAGGGTGACATGTAGGAGATCGTGTTAAGAGGAGTTGAAACAGTATGGACTAACATGGGTGCTGGTGAAAAGTACAGCAGAAGACAGAAGCAAGTGGAGACGTGCAGTTGAAGCCCTATGTTAGACTAGGAACCCAAGGGAACAATAATAATAAGTGGTGCGATGTGTCTAGTTGTTTCTTTGGTGCAGATTGAATTCTATCAGTCAGTCAGGTTTGCAATGTGGCCACCAATTAAAGTATCCACTACAGTCCTATAGAGGAGGTCAATCGCGAGCCCGAATAGCTCCGTGGCTGTTTACGTCTCTGACTGCAGGCGGTACTGGTTGACGCGGGTTCGAATCTCAGAAGGGACATGAGTTCCTTGAAGGCTGCAGATATGCCTTGTTGATTGGTGAATGCCAACTAGTACGAAACCTAGGTCCAAGGAGGGCTTCCCATAGCCGATTTCCTCCAATCATGATAATAGTATCAATGGATTACAGTTCGACAGCATCAACATAACAATGCACTGAATATCAGAAAAATTAGGAAAGATAATAATACAAATTCATGAATTTATAGTCTCCACTGAAGGCCGGCTGGACTTGCTTCTTCTCCACACAGATCACCGGTTGTTTCAGGCGAATCACAGTAGCCTCTGCTGTTTGGAGTACACGGTACTTGGATGTTTTAGACAATTTATTTGGTACCCTGTAGATAATAGAGAAGGATTCTTCAATGCCGACTTTGTGGCCAGTTTGGACCAGATGGTCTGTTATCAAAGTGTTGATAGTGCCTAATGCACCTTCACTCAGCTACACAGGTAGATGTGTTCCCGAGCGAGCACGAAAAATCAAGTTCCTTGAGCAAAGGCCATTGAATCGTGTAATGTACCACTATATAGTTAGATATATATTCAATGATCTTGTAATCATAACTGACATTTCTGGTTCTGCCATTTCGATTTTAGATCAGAGGAATGAATTCCAGAATAGCATAATATCACTTGCATATCTATAGAAGATAAAGATAACTTTTATCTCGCCTGATAGATCAATACAACTATATCCTTATATCTTTGAATAAGGCTTGAACAACAGTTCTTGAAGAATAAGATAATGCCATCTCAATCATTCCGTCGGTTTCTCATCGGCTACCTACAGTTTAAAGAAACCATTAAGTTCATCTACAGGACAATATTAATGTTCCAGGATGTCAGTTGACAGGAGACTCTAAGGTTTATAAACAGTGCTCACTTATATAGTCTATACCCAGAGAGTTCAAATTCAAACGAGAATAAATGTTTGCTTACAATGACAAGGTGCGTCGGTAGCACAGCGGTAGAGTGCTCGCCGACCACGCAGGTGGTCCGGGGTTCGATACCCGGTCACCTACGCACTCCTTTACTTCGCTAAGCCTGTAGTAGGACTGATAAAAAGGGAAGGTTGGGCATGAGGCTAGCAACCCCATCCTGTAAAAATAATCACCACTGCTACAGGAACTTCAAGCCCTCTAGCTTGAATTCCCCTATGTTCCACTGGGAACGTAAAGGAATAATAATAAGAATTACAATGACAAAGGAGCTACTTAATAAAGACAAGATGTGAGTAGTATGGTGAGTAACAGTAGACACAATTGTTCAGTCTTCCTCAAGTTTACCTGGAATCCGATTCATGCGTTCAGAAAGAATCAGTTATCAGTATTTCCTTACCCTGATAACTGGACGTCTTTATTCTCTCTGCCTCATTTGATTACGCAATCTGTGGCTTGAACCTCACTCCCCACCGAACTTTGATATAGTGTAGCTTTGCTTGTCTCTTCTTCCTATTGTAACGACAGAAGACAAGGGCTAGGCAACAGATCGTTTATTGAGAAAATCAAGAGGTATTCATAGATTTTTATGTACATTATTATTAGCGTTATTGTTAGCAGAGAAGCAACGTCTTCTGATTGGTTGTTTTCTTGCTGAAGGTTATTCTGTCATCTCTTTGTGACCGTTTCTTAGAAAGTCAGGCCATATATCTGCGAATCGTATTTGCACACGTTAAGTCTACTGTGATTGGTTGTTGAGTTCCTCAAGTTTAAGCTTAGTTATTGTTTTTTTCTCATGACCCTGATTCGGGATGTAAACATTGAAGTACATTATTGTCTACAATTTTGTCTTGCAGACAGTTCTCACCACACTATGAATTGAGTTGAATTCACTACATCGTTACTCAGTTTATCAGTTTACTCATCATTTTACTCAAGTCTTGTCTTTATTAAGTAGCTCCTTTGGCATTGTGTGCAAACATTCATATTTGTTTAAACTTGAATTCTCTGGGTGTAGACTATATAAATTCATTTTTCTGAGCACTGTTTATTAAGTTTGGAGTCTCCTGTCAACTGACGTCATATAACATGTTAAGATTGTTCTGTACATGAACTTAGTAGTTGTTTTAAACTGTAGGCAGCTAATGATGGTTCCATCTTATTCTGCACAAACTATTTGTTCTTGCTTTATACAAATTTATAACAGCGAATAAGTGTATAAAGTATCTATCTATATAAAAACCTTCTTGGACAGGACACTGTCTCAATTACTACAGCTTGTTTACTGTTCAGTACAAAATAGCTCCAGTGAGCCCCCTTCCTTTTAGTAGGATCCAACGAATATATGTGTACAGAAGAGACACTTGAAGGAGAAGAAAGAAAACTGACAGAAACTCTGACTGGATGGATCAAATTACTCACCGGGTGGTCAGAAAGAATTATTAACAAGAAACTTTGGGTGGGAACAAACCAACAGGCGAGAGCCGATCGCTCAACGAATATGTAGGAGAAAATGGAGGCGGATCGGGCATACGCGACTGAGGAGGCCGCCGAATGACATCACGCGCAATGCAGACAATCTTTGGAGTGGAATCTAAATGGGAAGCGACGAGTGGGTCGTCAGTGCGAGGGTGACATAGAGGAGGAGATGAGAGGCTATGGGCGATCGTGGACCCAACTGAAGAGGAGGTGTGTTGTTGAAGCCCTATGTTCCACTGGGAACCCAAGAGAACTAAAATAAGGATAATCTGTCGTGCTTCTGGTATTTCCTATTACATTTCCCCCCCTTTTTGTATTCTACTGTGTGTTACTACTGTAATCCTTCTGTTGTTTCATTGTGTTTTTTTCTTTTATAGATGGTATGAAATTAACCATGAGTACATATTATCTTATTCGATCATTACGTCAATTTATTCAAAGTGTTCATCTACTCAATTGTCCAGATATGGATATCATCCTGGTAGCGTGTTTTATACACATGGTACACTCAGAACTTGGTTGTTATGAACGTGTATCACCTATTGATATATCTGATCCAATTAGAGTAGGTTGTGTAGATCTTTGTGTGTGTGTGTATTTTTGGGTTTTTTTCCTTCTTGTCAATTATTTTTATATAATTTAATAATTCCCATTGTAGCACTAAGAACACAAATATTCAGCGAAGAGACTCTTTGCAACAACAAATTTAATATCAAACTGTACAATCGTATATGTATACATGTGGTTTTACTTAAGAAGTTATATCCGGTGGGGGAATTGAATCATAGGTGTGAATACATGAAATAATAATAATAGTATGAAATTAAATTAAAATATTTGTGATTATAATCATAGAGGTTACTTCATTCACTTATCTAGGGAGCATTGTATCAACTACAGGCAGGTGGAACCGACGAGGATGTCAAATCGAGAATCGGGAAGGCGAGAAACACATTCATCAACCTGAAACCAATCTGGAAATCTTCGTCACTCAGCCTGCATCAACAACAAAATTCGGATTTTCAATACAAACGTCAAGTCAGTCAGTTCTTCTATACGGATCAGAAACTTGGCCAGTGTGTCACAAAGAATATTTCCAACAGCCTGTTGCAGACCTATATCAACAACTGTCTTCGCTGGCTCTATACTGAAGATTAGATGGCCGGAAAGAACAAGAACCAACAAGAAACTATGGGAACAAACAAAACAAGAACCAATCGCCCAACAAATATGCGGGAGAAAGAAGTGGAGATGGATTGGACACTTGCTGAGGAGGCCGCTGGGTGATATTGCGCGTCAGGCCAACGCTCGAGTGGAACCCGGAAGGGAAGCGGCGAGTGGGACGTCAGTGCAAGGGTGACATGGAGGAGATCGTGTGTTGAAGAGTTGAAACAGTATGGACTAACATGGATGCAAGTGAAAAGTACGGCAGAAGACAGAAGCAAGTGGAGACGTGCAGTTGAAGCACTATGTTCCACTAGGAACCCAAGGGAACAATAATGATAAATAATAATGGAATAATACATAAGGTGTATAGATGTTGGAAAGGGGTGCATAATTATAAGATTAGTAGGCGAATATAAAATGTTACATAACATGGTGTGAAATTTGATAAGATAGAGTTCAACATTGTAAGGAAAAATGCTTTTTGGATTTAGATTGAGAAGTGGCACAAGCAGAAACAATTCAGAGTGAGAATAATAATAATAATCGTAGTAATAAGGGAAAGGTGCATAGTATAACTAAATTAACCAAATTCATAAATAAATAAATGTCTATCCCTCTACGGCTAAGGCAGAAGTAGGGATTGTACATACTTCTTTTGTACACAAAGGTATGGCTTAAATTCATGAATGACCAAGACCTCTGCTGTCTTTAGAAATCTATAACGAAGAAAACGTGGCCAGCAAGTTAGCATGGATTCGATAGATGATCTTAAAATCATGGTCAGGGTTGGTAGAGTGACAGGAGTCGATCAGGTGTTCTAGAATAGAGCTTCGCATACACTTCCTTTCTCCCTTGTAAATCCATGCTGTGAGAAGAAAGGTGGTAGTTGAGTGTCAATTAAACAAGTGTGAAGAGGTTGGGAAAATGTACAAAAGCAACTTATGAGAGTGATAATAGTGAATTAATTATTATAGTAAAAACAAACTAAAAGTAAAATTAAAAATCTTTTACAGAGAACGACTAGTGAATAGGTTAAGACCATGATAGAATAAGAGACTGGACAAACGTTTTTTTCTGTATACAGATTTCGGGGGTTGTATTGACGAATTCACCAACGCCTCCGGCATACACAAATGCCAAAACCTGACTCCCTTTGTACCATTTGGTCTCACCTTGAAGATGATCTTGAAAGGACGACTCTGGCGGAGCTACGTGGCTTGAGTTCATCCAGAAAATTTTATTCACTGAATTGTCTTTTAATTTCTTCATGACTCAATGGGTATTTTCGGTGATATATATCACACTGATAGACTGTCTGTATTAGATGGTTGGAGGCAATCGGCCACAGGAAGCCTTGCCGGGACCTAGGTTTCGTGCTAGTTGGCACTCACTCACTCACCAGTAGTCAGCAAGGCGGCGTATCTGCAACCTCGAAGGAACTCATCTCCCTTCTGAGATTCGAACCCGCGTCACCCAGTGCTGCCCTGCACAGTCAGAGACATTACACCACTGACTATTTGGCTGATAGAATTCAGTCTGCACCGAAGATAGGACTCTTGACACACACACATCAAAACCTCGCAACACTCCAGCAAACAACTAGGTACCTATCGGGGAAAAGTTCGACACAAATTAAGTCAGTGAAGTATGCCAATGGAAAGTCAATCACCAAAGAAGTGAAGCAGAGGAAATACTGGGCTGAACACTTCAAAAGACTTCTAAATCGACCGTCACCTACAACGCGCCCAACAATACCAACAACGGAAGCAGAATTACCAGTGAACATCAGTCCCCCGACGAGAACGGAAGTCCTGAAGGCAATCAAGATGCTAAAAGCTGGAAAAGCAGCAGGAGCAGATACAATCGCAGCAGGAGCATTGAAAATGGATCCAGAGACAACAGCGGACTTGATGACGCCACTACTGGAGAAGGTGTGGAGAAAGGGCAAGGTACCCAAGTATTGGAAGAAAGGATACTACCTGGGAAGCATCGTTTCAACTACAGGCAGACGGAACTGATGAGGATATCAAAGCAAGGATCGGGAAAGCAAAAACAAGCTTTCATTACTCTCAAGTCTGTTTGGAGGTCAACAGCACTCAGCATGAAAAAGAACATCCGGATTTTTAACTCCAATGTGAAGTCAGTGCTACTCACCATACGGATCAGAGACTTGGCCAGCGCGTCATAAAGAGCACCTCAAACAAACTACACAGTTTCATCAACAGCTGTCTTCTCTCAATACTCAAGATCAGATGGCCGGCCAGAAAAGATCAGCAACAGGGATGGATTTCTAGGAGCAAACCAACCAGGAACCGACTGTGCAACTAATAGGCAGGAAGAAATGGAGGTGGATTGGCGATACCCTGAGGAAACCATCAAGTGACATCACTATACAAGCCATCGCTCGAGTGGAACCCGAAAGGGAAGCGGCGAGTTGGTCGTCAGTGCAAGGGTGACTTGGAGGAGGTCATGTGAAGAGGAGATGAAAGCGTGTGGACAGACTTGGAGCCACTTGAAAACTCTAGTAGAGAACCGAACGCAATGGAGACGTGAGCGGCTGAAGCCGTATGTTCCTCTAGGAATTAATGGAAATAATAATAATAAATCCAATCAATAAGATTGTTGTCTATGCATATGCACAATCTTTTTTCTTCTGTGTTCAATCTTTTGTTTTTCTCTCTCTCCCTTTCTCGCTATTAGCAATCTATCATTTTGATAAACATCGAATTTCTAATCAAGTCCATCATGCCGAAATTTATTAATCTGCTGAATTGTTCTGAGAATCCCACGATTAAACAACTGATAGCCCAGTTGAAATCAACACTCCAGAGTATTAAAGGTCTCGAAGAAGATGAAGGCGACAGTGTAGTAGTCGACGGTGTCAATGGGAATCACATCAACAGTAATAATATGATGATGACAACACAAGAAGACTCAATCTAATGAATTAATTTTTGTGTTTTTCTTGCCTCGTCTTTTTTTAAAATTGTTTTTTTTTCTGTTGCTTTATTTTCAGAACGTATATATATATATGTTTTATACTTTGACGTGATAGACGTATTTGTTGTCTCACTGTTTATTTGTTTGTTTGTATTTTTTCTTTTTTTAATGCTTTCTTTGGTTGATTGATTCATCGTCAACGGATAACACGCATTTTTCAAAAAAAATAATAAATAAATATTTTCTAACCACCTGGTATTTTAATGAGAAGTTGTCACGCCGACAGAGAGTCCAGCGAGTTTTCAGTGTAAGAGTGGATAACTGTTAGTTACTCCATGCTAGTTTGTTCATAAGATATATCACACACACAGTCAGTGAAACAGTATTATTATTATTATGTACTGGATGACAACGCCTTTCGAACACTATTTTAGAACTATTCTGTCAAATCTTGACGACAGTTCATTTGAATTTTAGTTTGCAATCGAATTAAATTAACAAAGAAAGAAACTGTGTAATTGGCACAATCATCAGCGTGTTTTCACTCTCCGTTGTCTGCAACAGAATAATGCATATCCTAAATCCGTAGCTTTCGAGTCACCTGACAACTCCAGTAGGTCGAATAAAGCAGCTCAATCTTCAGAAAGAAGACAAAGCAATAAGTCCGACAGGGTGCTTCTACTAAACCCCAATCCTAAACACCATAATTTTGAAAATACGTCTAATCATAAAATTCTAGATACTAACAGTTTGAACAGACATGAAGGCGTGATGTTAGCTGATGCATAGGAAATCCTTATTAATAAATAAAAAATGGATATCTATCACTAATTATCAATACTTGGTCAAAATTCTCGACTGTCCATATCTTCTTATGGAGACGTTAAGAAATGTTTTTCAACTGTTTACCCATACACACATACACACTCTGTTTAAAGTGTTTAACAAAGGTAGACCAATATTTGTAAGTCCGAGGTCAAATTTTGATCACAGCTCATAAAATTTTGTTTATTATACTTATACTTGATACTTGTTGAATGACTCATGATTGGACAAAGTTTTTAAAAACAAGTGATGTTCCTTTTATATGTAAACCTCTGTTATGTTAATTTCGATTAATTTCCCTGAAGAAGTTCGGACCAGATTGCCGAACGAAACGTTGGAATTACTCATTTCAATCTCGCTGAGATTTTACAAATGACAATTTATTATCGTTCGTAATCATTTCATCAATTATAATCACACGACTTCGAAACTTGAGTTTTATAGCTTTCTTTGTTCTCTCCTATTTGTCGTCGTAAGCGTGGTAGTAGAATTTTCAAGATATCTGGGTGGACGAATGTTAAATCATTCCTGTTACATGTATTGTCTTCGGTTGATTCGATAAACAAAGCTTCCGCTGTCATCAATCTCTCCCTCCACTCTGCTGTTACATTAGATTTTAAAACTGTCATCTTATCCCATCCAGTCTATTTGTATGGTTGTGTGCAACTGCATGTAGTGCTATCTACGGCTGAACTATTCTCCAGATTTCTTGTCTTATTCGGATTAACTAGTCTAGATTTTGCTAGGGTTTTATGCTCGGATAGTCTGACTGCCCTGTTCTACTACTTTGACCTATGTATATTCGACCTGACAATCATTGGAGGCAGTGTATTAGATAAACTAAATTGTTTTGTTTTAAAGGCTCCACAGGATCCACCATTTAACCGACAAAGCTTGTTTCTAATTGAGTTTGTAGGGGGTTCGATGCCACTTTTATTCCTGCCTACATTATTAAGAATTCTCCGTAAGGTTTCTGAAGTTCCTTCTTTGTATGGAATTACGACAGATCATTTAGATTCCTTATTCTTGGTGTTGTCATTATCTTCCGCATGTTTGACATGCATTATTATCACTATCAATACTATGATTATTTATTTTATTTTTACATTTCCCTACATAGTTTCTGACTAATTTATCAGGGTAATTATTAAGTTTCAAAGCTTCACTTTCTTTTTTAGATTTTCCTTGGTACTACTTAGTTTTTGTGCTCTATTACTTAAACATTTCACTAATCCTATTTTCACTGACATTGGATGGGATGATCAAAAGTCCAAATATCTGTTTGAATGTGTGGGTTTCCTGGAATCACTAGTGTGTTCAACTTGCTATCTTCTTTCCTTTTTACGCTGCAATCTAACATTGTAAGCTCCCCCTCGTGTCTTTCCAATTCAGAAGTGAATTGAATTGCCTCCACCTTTCAGTTAATGTGTGATTATAATTGATGAAATGATTATGAACAATAAATTTTGTTCGAAACTTTGTCATCCAGTAAATAATACTGTTTCATCACTGTGTGTGATATATTTAATAAACAAACTATTATGAAATTACTTACTACCACAGTGTCCAAGTCTTGCACATATATGGATAACTGGTAGTTTTTGTTCTTTTTCAACTGCCAATCGATCATAAGAATGGCTTCGTAAACTGATGGTTGTGTATGGAAGTCGTGAGTGAGTACTGATGAAGGGTCCAGGACTAAGACAAGTCTTTATTAATTCCCTAACTGATTTGAATAAAGTAAGAACAAACAGTTTGTGCAGAATAAGATGGTACCAACATTTATATCGCTACCTAGAATGGTGGCCACATCGCAAACCTCACTGATAATAGAATTCAGTTCGCGCTAAAGAAAGGACTAAACACATCACACTAGTTACAAGTGTCCAATCGAAGTATCCACTACAGTCCTATAGGAGGTAAATCGCGAACCCGAATAGCTCCGTGGCTGTTAACGTCTCTGACTGCAGGGCAGCACTGGGTGACGCGGGTTCGAATCTCAGAAGGGACATGAGTTCCTTCGAGGTTGCAGATACGCTGCCTTGCTGACTGGTGAGTGCCAACAAATACGAAACCTAGGTCCTGGCAAACCTTCCCGCCAATTGTCTTCAACCATCTAATGTCAGTGCACAGTGATGGCGAGCCACTTAGTGGCATGGTGGCCACATTACAAACTTCATTCATAGAATTCAGTCTGCAGCAAACGTAGGACCAGACACAGTACGCTAGTTTAGCAACTAGTGTCTGATGGAAAATTGTACCACTTGTGTCACATTCACACACACCCGTATTACTCAGTAATAGACTTCTATATATTCCTAGTAAATGTATAAATGTAATTGCACAGGCCTCGAAGATGACTTCATCAATGGAGAAAATTTTCTCCCGTGAGTTGTCCTGTATTTCATCTTCATAAATACAAAGGAACAGCAAGTAATCCTGGGAACTATTTCATAAAACACTTACACCTTGATTCATATGTATCAATAACTTAGTACTGAGTACATATTTTTTTTAAAAACATTGTAAAACTTTCAGTCCACAACATCACATGCATAGATGTACTTTCATTCATATCTAAATATGTGTAAAACAGATCTCAGTTCGTGATCAAAGCTGTAACCAATCAAATCCTTGCAAACCAAGACTTGAAAATGAATATGCTACCCACTGACGACTGGCTGTATACAAAAAATTACCTGAAGTTCCAGCGGGAGTCACGAAGTTAGATGAAAGAACAATAACTCATCACGAATGACATTGACCGGAGGTTGCGCTATATATATCGCCATCTGACAGAAGTTGGAATTTTTTGCTCTCTGGATTCTGGCCCATATGGTTGAATTTCCTACGAACTCGCCTTGTAACTGGAAAGTTCAGGGTCTGAACGACACTGGGCGTGTACTGATGAAGAGTCATAGACTAGGACGAAACGGCCTTCAAATACTCCATGGTTTTTTTACTATTCCTCTAAATGATATCATCTGCTGATCAAACTTATTACTTGTGGATTATGGTAGTGTATGGAATTCTATGCTAATTTGTTTATTGGATACCAGATATCAGACAGTAAAACCGTCCTCTGTTTACTGGATGACGTTTCAAATACAATTTATTGTTCGGAGTCGTACAGTCGACTGTAATTGCACAGTTTTGACATTCTCTTTTTATAGTTCACTTTCTTGCTTCCTATTTGTCGTAAAGGTTGAATAATTTTCAACATGTCTGGGACATATGATAATTAAAGCTTTATTTATCGAATCAGATGAGAATACGTACAGTAGGAATAATTCAATATTTCTCCTGGTAATCTAAACAATTATGAAAGAAAAGGCGTTCGGTAAATTTTCTTAGCAATAAAAGGAATGTTTCCAAAAATTTGTCATTTAAAATTTTTTTATTTATTATTCCCTTCTGTTCTAAGTGGAACATAGGGCTTCAACAACACATCTCCACTTCCTTCTATTCGGTCCTGTCCTCATAGGTGTCTACGTTCTATCTCCCGCGTGAATTGGTATAATAAGGTGAGCAATATTGAGGTTAGGCGTCGAGTGCTAGGTAAGGAGGGGAAATCAGTCGACGAGACTGTGAAATTACATCGACTTAGATGGTTAGGACATGTGCTACGTATGCCTAGTCATCGCCTTCCTCGACTGACGAGCAATGTTAGCTGACATAAGGCCTAATCGCATCCCACGATCTCCTCCATGTCACCCTAGGACGACCCACTCGTCGCTTCCTACTTGGACTCCACTCGAGGGCCTGTCACGCGATATCATTCGACAGTTTCCTCAATGTATGCCCAGTCCATCTCCAATTTCTCCTACATATTTTTTGAGCAATTGGCTCTCGCCTGTTGGTTTTTCCCGAGTCAGAGTTTCTTGTTGCTAATTTTTTCTGGCCGGCCGGCCATTTGGTTTCCAGAATCTGGAGCCAGCGAAATGGGCAAAAAATAACAATTACGTATCACCTATGAGGTCCAATGTAGGTTCAGTGACTGAATCAACCTCTGTGTGCACATTTCGAGATTTAATATGTAGATTGTAGTTTGCAGAAGTTTGACTCATACTCCTTTAGCGACATTTCCGCGTGTTCTATAGGGGATTTAGAGGTTGATTTCTAGGTTAGCCTGGTGTCCAGATTCGGTCACGTGTTCCAAGTTAGAGATGCGACGGGATCTACCTTTCTCCCTTATGAAACTATGGAGGTGAGTTTTCGATTATACATTTAGATAGCAAACTATGAGTGCAGCCGACATACGTAGGTCTACAGGGTCAGGTGGATTGATAGATACACACTGATAGTGCCAGCAATGGTTTTATAAAGACAGTAAGTCAACGTTTTTATTCGAATTAATGCGACAGGTGGTTTCTCAGTATTTTTGCCAATGAGTCTGCAATGAATTGTAGATTCAGATACAGAAGTC